GAACAGGAACCACAACCCCGATGTATGGAGACAGAGGATTGGTAGCTAGTGATGAACAGACGGGGATCAGGGGAGGGAATGCGAGAGGGCGCCGTGGGGACATGAAGGGACGTCGGTAGGAGTGAAGGGAGAAGAGAGCTGTGGATGAAGGAGGGAACTGGGTGTCGAATAAAAGAAGTGTAACCGTGACCTGTCTGCGCGCGTTGGTGAGGAGCGTGTCCGCTACATCTGCATGCGGACGTACAGCCCTCCTGATTGGTCCGATGCCGGATGAGGGCCTAACCTGTGCCATATCGATCGTGGGGATAATTTATCCAGATTTCACCACGCCCCTGCGTACCTAAGGGCATAGAAGTAAAGTACAACAATGGATTTTGCTGCACTGCACTCTGCTGACCGGAAGTGAGCCCCACAGCTGATACCACCTGTTATGCACAGTGGTCAAACACCCAAACAACAATCCAGGCTCAATTTCGTTTCTATGACCATGTCACCTGGAACACAGCCGATCTCATTCGATCTGGAAAGTTCTAAGAATATACTTGGCCATATTCTGAGAAAAGTTCAGCTTGTTAGCTCTCCTAATGCATCGTTAGACTTGACATCATTCAGCTCTCCAGCCCTACTATATCAGTAAGAGTTTACATCGATGGATGACATCATGTCAAATTAAACTATTACCTTCAAATTGTTGTACATTAACGGCTCTCTGAGTGCATAAATACGCTTCCATAGTTGTCATTAACAAACAGCGCCTAAGACCTCCAGTGTTTATGTAAAAATCTATTCCGAGTTCCTAAGTCTGTGAACCATGTCTGGGACAACTGCCAACCACATGGGTCTCGTATAAATCATCGCCGCATGCCTACAAACACGTGCCCGCAGCGCAGCCATGCCGCCCATGCTATCTATTCTCGCTGGGTGGCAGTGGCGGTGGTGGTGGCGGTGGTGGCGGTGGCTATGCTGCACGTGGCCTTCTGTAATCCAGCGCTGTGGAGGCAGCAGCAGCGAGGGTTGGTGGATCGCCGCAGAAATGTTGGAAAACTCACTTCCTGTGGGCGTCCAAGGTGCTACATCCTGGCTTGCCAGCAGAAGGGAGTACAGCAAGGGTGGACGAATAGCATTTGGAAGTTAATGGAGCCGATGCACTTTTACACATAAATTGGAAAATAATGTCTTTCGAAATCCTGTTCGTGTTTGGTTTGTTGTCCTTCCCCCGAACCTGCCGATGAGCACGGTTGGCCATGTACGGTGCGAAATAAGTTCAACATACAGACATAATCTGTCCCTTCTGTATGAGATAGAGTGTTTCCCCCTCGCACGCGTGGGTTTCATCCAGGTGCTCCAAATTGTGGTCTCGGCTCACTGCGTGGCTGTCCCTGACTTTCCCACTCGTCTGTGGTTCATCCTTGCGCCTGCGAGTCGTCCAATCTCCACGCGAGCGAGCAAAGACCAGTGGCGGCGGCCCAGCGTTACAAGTTGAAATGATTCCACGTGAGCGATAAATATGCAAAGACGGGACCTACACCTCACAGGTCCTGGCCCTCTTCAAGGGCTGACGTTGCCCACCCATTTTGACCCACAAGGCAGAGGAGCTCAGCGTGGACACAATCGGTTCGAGTCTGTTGGAAAGGAGAAAAAACCCCACCACCGTATCTCCCGGTCTAACGCCGCCGGCAAGCAGCAACAAGTAAACACGAATGTTCGTGAAAAGAGGTGGGAAATGATCGACTGCGCTGAGCTGCACCTACAGGATGTTTAACCACACACGGGGTCATTGTTTGTGATGTCCCAAAAAAAAGAACAAAATAATAAACAGTTGATCGGCGTCCACCTGACGTTGGCATAAAAATGTCAGCGGTGAATTTGTTCCAAGCGTCGGTTGTTCTCAAGATGTACCGCACGCGAACAAAAAATAACGTTTCAGCACACGCCGGTGATGAGAGCAATAAAGAAAGCGGAATTTTAAACTCGCGAATACTCTGACAAAACTATGATGGAGCAGCGAACAAACTCCAGCCACATGTGGGCACTATGGAGGCTTCAGTGCACCGTGCTGGAAAGAATGATTGCTGCAAATGGCATCGGTTTTGGAAAAGTGTAAGTAAGTAAGTAATGTTTCCTTCCTAAAAATATGCCAATATGTGTACATAATTATCATTGTTACGCGGTTGTTTTGTACGCATCTAACACATACATACATACATACGATTGCCGATATGCGTTCTATATCATGTTCTAGAAGGGATAAAAAGCAGAAATTTAGCAGAAACATCTTCAAGTTGTTCTAAAGACTACATACAATTCCAAAACAATAAACTTCAAACTTGGGCTCCCAGTAATTTTGGCCTGGAATTTAGATTGGTTTCACACAAGTATTAACTATTTTTTATTTACAATTTTTTATATTTTACTATAAACTGTTTTAATTTTAGCAGGTAAGGCTCTTTTTCAGAAGCCACCTGGCCACAGACTATAGCTTAACGAAGTGGCTTATCGCGTAGACATTTATAGCCGTAGCCAAACACTCTAAACGTTGATTCTCAAATGTGGAGGGAAAACCGGAGGTCCCGGAGAAAAATCCATGCGACCACGGGGAGAACACGCAAACTCCAAATATACAGCAGGTGTCAGGGTCAGGATCGAACCCAGGACCTCCTGCAAACGAGGTGAGGTAGTTAACATATCCTAGCCACCGCGGTGCCCTGTGGGACAAGTTCACCCAGGAGTTCAACATTGTTTTCCGGGACCGTCCAGCGTGGAGATGGAGCGATTTTATGTGCTCGTGTGTATGTTGAACTTCTTTCACACCTTACGCAGCCAACCGTGCTCATCGGAGGTGCGGGGGAAGGACAACAAACTAAACACAAAAAACAGTTCTAAAGAAATTAGAAATCTCGATCAGGGGTCCCCAACCCCCGGGCCGCGGACCGGTTACAGCCGCGTTACGGTCCGTGGCCTGTTAGGAACCGGGCCGCACAGCAGCAGGAGGCGAGAGCGGTGAGTCCGCGCGTGGCCCGCACCGTTGTTTTATTATTGACCACTTCCATCCGCGCCTCTTCCCCGCACTGCGCACTCGTCTCAGTCACAGTGTTGGTAGTCCACAAGCTCTAACCCCGAGTAGCCACAATGAGTAACACACAAACACAAGCTCTAACCCCTAGTAGCCACAATGAGTAACACACAAACACAAGCTGCTAACCCCTAGTAGCCAAAATGAGTAAAAAACAAACGTCGCCGGAGAGCTTCTTTGAAAAGGGGGAAAGACCCAATGATGAACCTCCCCCCTCCCCGGTCCGTGAAAAAATTGTCTTCCACGAAACCGGTCCCTGGTGCCAAAAAAAAAGGTTGGGGACCGCTGCTCTCGATGATTTAAAAGTTCATAGCTCCAGTGGCTTCCTAATATCGGAAGGAAGAGCGTTCCAGACGGTCACAGAAGCGCATCTGAAAGCGCGCGATGTGGTGACCATCATTGTTCGATGGCCAGTCAAAAGCCACTGCTGTGAGGTTGACCGGAGTTCGCGCACTGCTTTAGGTATTGTGGTTCATTTGTGGCAAGAACTTCGTGTGTAATGATCGCGACCTGATCATGTTATAATGTATCTGTAGGGGTGTCAGAGGAAGGATTCCCACCAATAGGAGGGTTAGTGGGAGGGGTGATCGAGGAGATATAAGGGGAGAACGGGCGGGAAGAGGGGGCCTTTGGCGGGAACGAGATTGGGACGGCTGGGGACAGGTGTGGATGGGAGACAAGGATTAAAAGACGAAACCCCTGCAATCTTGTGTCGGCTCTCCTTTACATATCCGTTCTGTAACCGGAAGCCAATGCAGCTCGGCGAGCACTGGACGGACGCGGCTGGATCTTGCGGCACGCGTCACGACCACGCGTGCCGGATTGAGACGGATTGTGGCACAGCGAGACCGCGAGGGATGGCGACGGTGTAGTTGGGAGGCCTTCATGCAGCAGTGGATAGAGCACCGATACTCAAATCAAATAATATCAATAATGTATTACAACTATTCGCGCTATTCTCCAACGTATGTACTGTATATCACGAGGGCGCTATATTTCACATTGTCCGCTGCAGTTTTGCAGAAGGCGGCGGTGTTGTGCTTTGAACCACCCAAATTTCGTACATTTCCGGTGTTAATTTTTCAAATTTAGGTTTAGTCGGTGACTCTGGCACGCAACTGCCTACTCGTTTTCAAATAACGTCATGGGATCTGTCACATCCGTGTCGTGTTCATGGTCAGTGCACGCGCGCGGTATTAACCAGGGTGGCCGCGAGTGAGAACCGTGAACGGTACTTCCGCTGGCCTAATCAGTGCAAAAGGCGCCACGGTGGCGAGATGTGAACTCCCTCGCCTGGTATACAGGAGGTCCTGACGCCTGCTGCTGCTGCTGTATATGTAGAGTTTGCGGTGTCTCTCCCAATGGTCGCGTGGATTTGTCTCCGGGTCGTCCGGGTTTTCACCTCCACATTTATAAACGTGCGTTTGGAGAATTTGGCTGCTATAAATTTGCACGTGATAAACCACTTTGTTGAGGTATCATTTGTGGCAGGAACGCTTCTGAAAAAAATTGCTATTTACCTGGTAAAATAAATTAAAAGTGTTTTAGTTTCTATTCATATTCTTGGTTATTTCGGTAAAGTGACGTAAATAGAAAACAAAATAGAAATTTAAAATAATAAAAAATAAAATAAAGGCGTCTTTGTGGACTGTACCATTGAAGAAACACCCTCGCCACTCAACCCTCCCCTTGCCGCGCACCGCCTGACCCAACTCAACACCAACACTTCCCCCCTGCTCAGATTCCGAAATGATTTCGCCCGGGAGGGACCTTCATGTTCCTCGTCAGCTTCCGTAGGTCACCATGGCGGCGCCCGTGTGCCCGGCTCCACGTGTGTGACTGCGGCTCCGCGCGTGTGACTGCGGCTCCGCGCGTGTGACTGCGGCTCCGCGCGTGTGACTGCGGCTCCGCGCGTGTGACGCGGTGAGGCTGCGTTCTCTCTCTCCGAGCATTCGTATATATATATTTTATATATTTTAAGTCAGTCACCCCACCTGAGCGACGAGATCCAGCTGTTAAATTGTACCTCGCGTGAGGCTGTTGTACCCGAGGTAACCAACAGGCCGCACTGCACCAACATCTCCCGAGTGAGTGCAAAGTTCGTGACAAAAGTCTTGAGTCGTGCGGCTGTGGCCCAGCAACTGAATGCAGTGCGGTAACTACGCCTCGGATAGTTACCCCGTCGTTCGTTGCCCCCCCCCCCCAGCACCTGCAATGAGCACGGCTGGCTACGTACGGTGCGAAAGAAGTCCAACATATATCAATGATACAAATGTAACGGGTTCAACTGAGTCACAGACGTAGACTTGAGAGGCAACACATTTATTCAGTTCCAACACGGGGATAACTTCCCCCTGAACAGAATAACAACCTATGGTGATGACCACCAGGCTAGCGAGTGTAGTTAGCCTACCTACACTAGTTACCCCGTGACTGGTGTAGTTACCACGTGACCACCAGGCTGACTACGCTAGTCACCACGTGACTGGTTGCGACTTCCGCTGTGTAACGATCTGAATAATTATTTCGTGATTCGGGTGGCAAAAATCAATTATTTTTCTTCTTTGAATTACGTATTGATTATCATGTTTGAGTCGTTGCTACGTACGCCACGCGGGTACACACAAGTGCTTCATACACAAATATCACACGATGATTCTTATTTTGAGTCGGGTGGGACACGTGCGCTCACGTGCGTGCACACAATCTCTCCACTGGAGTCGGCACGCTGTCGTGTGGTGAACCCAAATACACGCAGCGCAAGATCTCTTCTGCCGAATAAGCCCCGTGATTCTGTCACTTGGAAACATGATTACCAAGCATCAGGCGCGTGCAGCGTGTAACTCGCACCTTAATTTTGCATTGGAACGTAGAACATGGGTAAGATTGGAAATGGTGCTTGGTGGGTGGTGTGTGAGGAATGTAATTTTTTTTTGCCAACCTTAGATCCTAGAGCTGAGTGAGACGCATCACCCGACCTGTCGCTTCCTCCTCCTTCACAGCGACGAGGGAGGAGCTGAAGGACGACATGGGCTGGGACAATGAGCTGGAGAATGATCTGGAGCAGCCCCGCATCAGCCCTGTGATGGGCAGGGAACTTCGGGCGAGATTGCTCGATCAGATAGAAAAGCTGTCTTCCTCTGACAGGTAATGGCCCCGGGGAGACGTGTTTCGAGCTGCCCCAGAAATACCCCGGCAAAATTACACTTAACTATACATCGTCTGCTTGTGGTTTATTTCCGTTTGCTGATTGTCAAGGTTGTGAATGAACCATACTATTCCCACTGATTCATACCTCAAACTAAACTATGTTTTATTTCACCAGGTAAGGCCCCGCTGAGCTATAGTGCGCTTCTTCAGAAGCGACCTGGATCTCACAAATAATAGTTCAATGGAGCGGATTATCATGTGGAAAACCTTCAACGCGCTTGCTCATAATATGAGCTGCCACTTCACTCATTGCATGTGACAGACTAATTTAATAAGCAATAAAAACAGATCACATTATAAGCTTTAACCCCCATTTATACGTATGTCAACAATACATATTTTTGATACCGTAATTTAAATATGTTTAGAGTTATCAATATTTTTATCCAAGCCACTGCTGATCATCGACAATTTGACTTTCTGTTATGAGCAATTCAAATTCAAAGCAAGCATTGTGGAGGGAGCGTGGGTTTGGTGGATTGCACAAATGTTGCGAATCTCCCTTCCCGTACCCTGGCTCACCAGTAGAAGACGGAATAGGAAACATGTGAACTCCACCCTTTCCTTCTGTACGGAATAGAACGTTTCACCCTCGGGAGCTCCGGTTTCCTCCCACATGTAAAGGACCTAGTTAAGTGTCCGAAAACACCTTCGTATATTGAGGACCGCAGAGCTTGGGCAATTGTTGTTGGCTGCTCACCGCGTGGCTGCTGCTGCCTTCCCGATCGTCTCACTCCAAGAGCGAGCAATAGATCTGTGGCGCCGGGGCATCACAAATTGACATTTCTATTCGGTGTATATATTTTTTTTCTTCTCGCATTCAGAGCATGTCTTTGTGCTCCTCGTGTGTGCGCAGAAAGATTTTCAACAACGCGGCCCCTCTGATGGGGGTCGGGGCGGCACTGGGGGGGTTGGTGTCCAACTCGATGCTCCGCACGCTGATGCAAGTGCGTGAAGCTGCCCTGGCCTCTGCCCTCCCCAGCGCGTTCATCCCCTTCCTCACCGTCACCATGATCCACCAGGTCGTCCTGACCGAGTCATTGTTGGGCGGTGAGCACCGCACCACCGCACCACCGTACCGCACCACCATATCACCTTCCGCCCCGAATCACGCATGGCCCTGCACGCTGACCTTGCCACCACTTCTTCTTCTGTCCATCTCGAACGATGACGACTGCGGCAAACAGCTAACATTTTTGCTGTGCGCTGGTGAGATGAGAGGCCATCCCTTGAGCGGACCTATTGGGTTCATCCACCGAAGTCATCAACCAGCGCTATTGATGCCTTCGCCGTGAACCTTACAGGGGACTAGGCAGGTGCTGGGCTTTGCCCATGGCCCTCCTACGAGCTAGCGGAAAGAAGGAGCGCTCTAAGGTCCCGTTCGTATTCCATGGCCTACGCCGCTGCCTCTTGTCACCACGAAAGGCCATGGTGCACGATGGAAGTGCTTCGCTGACCGGCGTGCCGCGGCAAGGTCCCAGTAGGCGTACTGCGGTATTTTATGAATTATAGGAGAAAACCTCGTCTGTACGCAAGCTGGCACGGATGAACTCTCCTCCGTGCCGTTCAGTGGCCAATGTAGCCCCCCGCCCGCGCACCTCCCGCCCTGCCCTCTCCATTGGTCGTGCGTGCGTAGTACGGCAGCAGACGGCCGTCGGTCCCCACCTCCGTCCCTCTCAACTCCCTCATTCACGCGTGCGCAGACAGGTAAAATCGGTGTAGCCCTGCAAGTTCTTGATCACGGCACTGCTGACGCAAAGGCCTCCACTAGAGCTCTAGAGAGCCCCATGAGTGGAGGGTATTTGGCCTACTCTTCCATATCTTTCATGAGGTGGGAGTACCCACACTTTACCCTACCACACATGACTGCCGATCCACTCACTGTGGTGTACCCATGTACACTGCTAGGAGGACAGAGGAAGTGGTGGGGGGGGGGGGGATTTAAGATACTTTCCCATTATGTCACCTGCCCAATCTGGTTGATGGAATCGAACTGGCGACCACTGGATTGCAAGCCCAGCATGGGAAGCCATCACCTTTGATTAGCATGGTTGGCTACATATGGTGCAAAAGAGGTTCAGCATACATACATCACGCTGTGGTGGCACCAACCCTCGTAATAATACACAAACAAATGGCCACAATATTTCCGACGCAGTGATTTCTTTTTGGTGAGTGACGGATAAGGCCTACCACCATTGTTTTATTCTGCTTGTTTACTCGGGGAAAGCCTCGCTGCGTCTCATGGCGCTATTTCATGAGGCTCCTGCCAAGTTTTCGCAGTAGGGGCCATTGATTGTTTTGTAGATTTCATTCGAGTCGTTGATTAATGGTGTCCCCTTCCCGAACGATGTCACGGGATCTTTAGCATCCGCTGTGAAAACAGGTGGTGCGTATTTTTTACGGTTAATGCACACTACCGCGGTACTAATTAGGGCGGCCGCTGGATCTGAACCGTGACGCGGGGCAACAAGCGGTAGGCCCCGGCGCCATCCTAAATGATGGCTACCACCGGACAATGACAACGGAGTGGGCCGTACGGTTTGAACGTGTTTGCACGTGCCGGTCGGTTCAAGGATTGTTAAAATTGAACTGGATTCCGTCGTGGATTCCATCACTTTTTGAAACCAATGAGCCATAATTTTGAACCGTTCCACCGAGTGGACGTATATCATGGCTGTCAACCCATACGGTTTGCCCGTATTCTTGTCTAGAGAAATTTAGTATTCAGGTCCATACTGTGTAAAGCCGTTTCAATACGAGACTTTGTAGGATGAAGGTTGAGATTTATAAGGATACGGGGTGACCAATAAAGTCTGAATTGGTCTGTAATAAGGTAGGCACTGACAAGGGGTTAACAGGTTTGGGGTATCAATCTTGATTTGAAGCTTTCGCAACTGCAGGAATCCATACTCTTTGGTTCTTTCGGTAAAGTCACGTAACCACCTGATGACGGGCGCTTGTGTTGCGTCCAAAACGTCGTGATTCATTTTATTTTACACCTACGTGACTTTACCGAAAGCACCAAGGAGTATAGGTATGGTATCATTTGAATTTAAGCACGGTGCCATAACGGCGACTTGCGACGCGGTTAACGTACCCCGTGTATGATCGTGCGTGCGCGTACATCTCTGCACACACGTGTGCAGGCCGCCTGAACTGTGAGCTCTGCGCTACCACACGTGGCACGCTCATCGGGGCCATCGGATCCGGCGTCCACCCTTTTGCTATGGCACTGCTGCTCAACGGCATGCTCATAGCCAGGTGCGTTGCCCGGACACGGCACCGCTCACGACTTAGAGCGGCGGAAGGGTGACTTGACTTCACACGGCCCGTGGCCACAACGAGGCCTACCGCTTGCCAGCCTCACCTCCGATTAGCACGGTTGGCTACGTACGGTGCGGAAGAAGATCAACATACGTACACTTCACAATGGCCTTCAAGGCGATATTTATCCGTCACCGCGAGCAAATTAGCTGCTCATTCACTTCTCTCTCTGCAATGGCCTCTTGCAGTTGGAAGACGTCACTGAGGTGTGTGTTAATCTGTGGCCTGCTAAAGGGTTTTGAAAGTCCGATTTAGACTTGAGTCAGGAAAAAGGTTTCCCACCCCTGAGTTACAGAAATACTTCCAACTGGAGGTGGCCACGTGGCTCAGTGGCCAGAGCAGTGAACCGGTACTTTTGAGATGATGGGTTCGAATCCACGGTTTGGTCAGCGTCGTATATATTTCATGCATATGCATGATTTTTTTTTCTAACTTGTGTTGTTATTACTCTTGAGTCACGACCCCTTCCTGTAATGATAACGAGACCCACGGTTCCAAAAATGCTGCTTTATATGACTGCAATGCGCCTGCTTTAAGAGGTATCCTACCCTATCACCGCAGTGGCAAGATGTTAACTGCCTCGCCTGGAATGCAGGAGGTTGCGAGCTCAATCCCCACCCTTGTGCCTGCTGTATATTTGGAGTTTGCATGTCTCTCTCCCTGTGGTCGCGTGGATTTTTCTCAATGTCCTCCGGTTTTTCCCTCCTCATTTAGAATTTCCACACAACAAGCCACTTCGTTGAGCTATCATTTGTGGCCAGGTCGCTTCTGAAAGAGAGCTGTACAGCTCAGTGGGCTTTATTTGGTAAAATACAAAATAGTTTACTTTTAGTTTTCTGTCATATCGTCCTTCCCTCTGTTGGAGAATGTAAAGTGTCGAAGTTTTGCGTTGGTACTTAGAGAAATTAATCAATCCACTGATGGATGATGGACTCCTCATCTTTCATTCATGGTTCTTTTTTTTTACAATACTTAATCACTCCATTCATTGTTGTTTGGTGAAGGTGGGGGAGCCAGGACCAGTCCGGGTATTAACCTGCCACCGATGTTAGCCCTGGCCGTTAACATTCACTCCAACTTTTACTTAACGTTCACTTCAACCATAACCGTGATCGATCAGGGCCAAGCACAGTCAACATTTATGATGAACGCATAACCCCTTAGATGTGGTTGAAGGGAGGCGACGCTTATTTAAAAGAAAAAAACGATCACAAAATGTCGATGTTCGACCCCCCCCCCCCCCCCCGTCCCGCAGGTACCGCCCGTGGGATGCGCCGACGCCGGGAGAGGCGCTGCGCCACATGTTGAAGCTGTCGAAGCCGGTGATGCAGCGCCTGACGCCCTTCATGATGGCGCAGGCCGCGTTCGGCGCCTACCTGGGCTCGAAGCAGTTCAGCATCTACACGAAGCTGCGGTCGCTGCCGCCGAGCGAGGACCTCCCGGCGTGAGCGCGCGGCGCCCCCCGCCCACTCTTGTCGCGACCGTCGGGTCGGAGGTCATGCGGCTGTGTTACGGGAGAGCGATGGCTCGGACGGACGAAGCGATGCCCGTTGGCCAAAGTCTTCGCGCGACTCCAATTCGGCGTTCCTTATTCGCCGTGAGTTTAAAAGTCGGCCCCCTAATTCACTTCGTTGTTTGAGAAGTTTTTGTTTGCGTGACACAGCAGGCGCGTGCTCGCGATTCGATGAGTAGTTCCAATGCAGGGGTCACGGTGCGATCCATCTGTTTTATTTTGCCGTTGTGGTCATGCACGGGGTTTACGAACACCAATAACTGGTACTCACACGCATGATGCGATGCGTTTACGGTGACCGTGAGAATAAAATAAAATTGACGGATCAATGCTTCTTAACTTGGCAATTAAGCAGTACACTTTGCTGCCGACTGGTTTCACCAAGACCGCCCCTTAAGTGATCACCTTGCAAATAAGTGCTGTTATCCTATAAAAAAAAGTTTTAAATTATATTTGTTTCAAGTTTATTTTGTCTTTTTATTTAGTTTGCGCTATCGCCATCATGATGTGTGATGACGCGTCCACTTTAGGACTCTTCCAGAGCAGCGCGTCACCCCGAGTGTTGGAAAACGGCCCGTGGAAGGATATATATCACAGAACTGCTTCTTCGATGGCTGCATGTGACCTAATACCATAAACTTGAGGATAACTACTTTCACACACACACCCTGCAACACATAAATGTTTGTGGTATGGGAATCAAACCGATATCCGTTTAATTCACGGAGCCAGACTATAGCAAAAAGTAAAAAACGAATATAGCAAGATGGGTTTTTTTAAATCGTCATTTCTGACCAAACTGGGGCTGGCAGCTCGCTCCACACTTTTTAGTGGGCGTCTAAAACCCAGATTTAGAACGCAGGATATCAGCATCGCTGGCCTCAGTGCTATAAAGCCTCGAGTCACGTGGCCACCTCTTAAGTGTCTCTACTTAATTGAGGCTTCAGCAAGTTTAGAGCCGCATTTTCAGGAGTGTTCTTAACTCTGTTCCGCTGTCTCAGCTCGCAATTTGTTGTGGGATAAATTATCAATTTAAACGATCCAATTAATTTATTCGTTTGGAAAGTTGGTAAATTCGTGGAGCAGAGCATGCTGCGGTAATGGAGACAGAAAATTGAATCAGAATGCCGCCACTTTAACTCAACTCAACTATTTTTATTTCACCAGGTAAGGCCCGCTGAGCTATTTAGCTCTTTTTTTCAGAGGCGACCTGGCCACACATTACAGCTCAATGAAGCGGCTTATCACACAGAAATGTATAGCAGCCAAATACACGTGACCACCATGGGGAGAGAGACACGCCAACTCCAAATGAACGTATTGGCGGTACACCGGTGCGCAGTATAACAAAAAAAGCACTTTTTTTTTACAACAATTATTTACTTTCTCACGATTCGCAGCCCCGGACAGAAAATATTGCGGGGTGGTGTTGCGGCAAAATCAGTTCTCGTGACGTCGAAGCAATCGGAAAACGAGTTTTGTGAGCGGCTGCACACAAAGCTTTGCCGTATAGCAGCACCCAGCCTGATGGCGATTGGCTCCTATGTTCAAAATGGCAAAGATTTGACTCCTCGTGCCCGAGACTTGGTCGGATGGTTCCTCGATTCATTTCCGGAATAATTTCTTGGCGGACGTGGCATCAAAATATTGACGCTCGTCACGTTTGAATGGGAAAGTAGCTGCTGAATCTAAGGCAACTTTCTGATGGGAAATCTGCAGCTCACTGAAGGGGCAACAGTGACGTCGTCAGACTGTTTTATGAGGATCGTGTTATCCTGCACCGGTGTACTGCCAATACTTGCAAATATAGAGGCGGCAGGGTCGGCTGGAGGCCGATCTCCTACCTTTGCTGCCGTTGTTTACCAAGTTTGCTGAGCACAGGTTAAAAGAGGCGGAATGAAAAATGGGCGGCCACGCTCATGGGTATCTCGCAGATGTTTTCAATTTGACCATGAGGAGTTTTAATTTGTGAGTATAACACTCGGTGGCAACAGAGTTCTCCCATTAATGGTTTTCTCGCAAGCCCATGTGAAGAGTGTTGTGGCTCCCTCGTTATTTCGGTTTAATGGCTTTTGGTGCCAACTTTGGGGGGCCATTGCCTCTCCAATTAGCGCGTTTGGCTACGTAGTGTGCGCAATAAATTCAGCACACATACCGATTGATGCCTGTGACCTGGCCTAAAGCTGTAATAACCTGCGACCTGCTTTTACAATGCAATGCAGCTCGTATTCTGCATTCATACGGCGGCTAATATGTGACTGCATGTCAAGATCATCACGCTTGGCTATGTACGGTGTGAAAGTTCACCATACATACAAGATGCTTTCAAAAGTAAAAGTAAATCCTGCGGTTTTTACCGTTGCATTTTTTGCGACACAAAACACCGTTTGTGCAACTGGGTTTAAACATGTTCCCGTATTAATCGTCAAAAATAAATTGCTGTGAAAACAATAAAAATGTGACTGTCGCACAGAGGGCCGTTTTTGTTCACGTGGTGTTTTTGCAGTGAGTTTTGCCCAGTGGTCGAGCGTCGAAAATAGATCCGGAACGAAGCCGGACGGCGTGGGGGACACCCCAGGCTGGACCTGGTGCTGATCGTGGATCGTCGTCGCTCTCGATAGCGCGGACCGCGTCTATCCAGCAGCAGCAGGAGGAGGCTGTCTCGGGGCGATAGGTCGCGGCGACGCCTGGAGGAACCTCAATTCTCAACGGGCCCCATTGATGGCTGCGCGACTATAGCCGCTGCTTTTGGCAGTGACCTCTTGCAGTCAGGCGGGATTGCCAGCAGGGGGCAGTGCAGGCGGGGGATCCAAGCCTGCCCGCTCTGGTGCATTTGCCTCTTGGCCACGAGCGACCAGCTCGCTCCGTGAATTTATTGCTGTTTACAGTTTTGCTAAAAAAGATAGTTAACACGTTGGCATGCCAGCCGAGTAAGGGAGCCAGAATTTGTTTTGGTTTCGACTGTACAATGTGTACTCGCAAGCGTGGGTTGACGCCCACGTGCTCTCTTTCTATAAACGTTTTTTTTTTATTTCACCAGGTAAGGCCCACTTGAGCTTTGTAGCTCTTTTTTTCAGAAGCGACCTGGCCACAAATTTGATAGGTCAACGAAGTGGCTTAGCATCACGTGGAAATGTATAGCAGCCAAATACCCCAAGAGGATGTTTCTAAATGTGGAGAGAAAATCCGGAGGACCCGGAGAAAATTCTACACGGCCAATGATCGCTCATGGTTGGCAATTGGCCGGAATCGTAGATAAATAATCGGGATCGGTTGTAAGCAATGATGATTATGATGATTTAGACTTGTAACGGTGCCCCACCGCCACACGCTATGCGCTCGCTCTACTGGAGAGGGCGACTCAGAGACACGCACGAGCAAGAACCACAGACGAGCGGGAAGGCAGCGTTAATGATCAACAGGCACCGACAATTGCCCAAATTCTGCGGTGCTTTTATATATGAAGGTGTTATAAGCCAATTAGTGTTCAGAGGTATGTATGTTGAACTTATTTCGCAGCGTACGAAGCCAACCGTGCTAATCGGAGGTGCGGAGGAAGGCCAACAAACAATGTCGCTGTTTCGCATCCTGGGTACGGCAGCACCTCCTCGATACCCATGGCAAGGGGATTTCACAAAATCCATGCGGCGACCCACCAACCCCTCGCCGTTGCCCCCCGCAGTAACGAACGGCGTCGATGACGTTTGAAGCAGAGGAGGCCAGAGGACACCGCTGTAGGTACACCGCCTAATTTATTAGTCTCATTGACAACATGAAACGGCTTCCTCAACAACAACAAAAATGGCAATTCATTACATTCGCATTGTACTCTGCCTTTTATAATTTCATATATTTATTTTAAATACTGTACGTAGAGAGCACCGGGTATATACACAAGTGCTTGGAAATATAAACGTCTTCTTTGTAATGTATATATGTACATTGTGCATACACCGAGACCTCGTCGCGCGGAAAGACCCACTTAAATTACGCAGACTGGAGCAAACGCTCCGATTTGTTTTTCATTCTCGTTTTACACCGTGGCTTCAAAGAGGTGGCAGTGAAGATGTTTTGGGTCTGAACGACAAATACAGTCGATGGAAGCTCTCCGATGCCCTTATCGCGGCCGTGTCGCGGCGTGGTTTTGTTGGCGCGACGTGTCCGACGTTTCGCTCCGCACGTGAACACGCCAGAGGGGGAGCTTCTTAAATGAACTGAATTCAATGGACGGCAGCGGAAACGTCGGACGTCGTGCTGATGTTCCGCGCGGCTCAACCGGGAGAGCGCATCGCAGATTGTGTGCGGCGCAACCGCGAAGAACCTCCGCGGTTTTGCGTTACGGGAAAACACAACATCATGGACTGAAACGACTCTTCCCCCCGCGACGCTTCAGAGTTACCATTCTATTCAAGATTCGTGTGTTGTATATTGTTTTTGTAACAATATATTACGGTGAATGGTAGCAGCCTCTATTGCTCAGCAGGGGTCATGCGAATCGACGTGTGCAATGCGAGCGTAAGAATCGGTGATTAATCGATGGGTGTCGGCCCGCTACGCCCACGGTTATGACTTCTGCAAGGCAAGCTATGACGGGAAGCGTGCCGTGACGGCGATCGTCTTTGATGTGCTCTTTAACAACTCAGCGGTCTTTTGACAGTGGCGGTTGATGTGGTTGATATTTCGCCTGGCAACTGATTCCTGCTTGTTCCATGTAAAGCGTTTTCATTTGATATTTTTTGTAAACTTTTAGTTTTTTTCCCGTTTCACAAAGTCACTGCTATTTGTGCTTGTCGGAGTCGTGTGGTGGTGAGACGGCGTGCCCATTTAGAACTCTCTCCCGAAGCGGGAGTGCGTCATCCCCTGCATTGGAAAACGGCCCGTGGATGGGGATATCACAGAACTACTTCTGAGATCCCTGCAAGTGACCTCCCTTCACGCACTAAAGGGTGCTGCGCGTTCCGACACACCCTGCGACCAGATAAACTTTTGTTGCATGGCAGTAAAAAACTCTAAAGTCGGTGTTTCTCGGAGCTGGGTTCAAGCCAGCGTTTTAGCGATACACCAAATTTAGTATGACGGTTTTTTGTGTGCGCAGTCATTGGTGGCTAGCTTCACACCCTGGAGTCGAACCCAGGCCCTCAACGGTACTGGCTCAGTGTGTATGCACCAAGCCACCAAGGCTACCTCGGCTGTGGTTGATTTTAATGAGCCTTGCAATGGGCAGGAGGGAATCTCCTTTTGCCGTTTTTTCTCCACTTCATATTAACACGTAGGCTTTCGCGACAAATATTACGACTCATAAATTATTTTTGGGTAAGATCGCGCAAAGTAAAATGTGCATCGTACACACTCATCCACCCGACACAGGCAATTAATAAAGTTGATGAACAAACGTTGCAATTTATTACCGGCTTCAGCAGCACCAGCGATCATGTTGGAAAGCAATCCAACTGCCTGATGATGCCGGTTTAAACTACCAGAGAGAGAGTCTGTAAACCCACCGGTGTACGTATGTTGAACTTCTTTCACACCATACATAGCCAATCGGAGGTGCAAGGGAAGGACAACAAACTAAACACAAAAAGCAGTTCTAAAGAAATGAGCAATCTAGATTTAAAAGTGCATAGCTCCAGTGGCTTCCTAATATCAAATGGAAGAGCGTACCAGATGGCCGCAGAAGCGCATCTGAAAGCGTGCGATGCGGTGACCGTCCTTGGTCGATGACCAGCCAAAAGCCAGCTGCTTGCGAGGATGACCGGAGTTCACGTGATGGTTTATGCTCCTTGACAAGATCAACAAGATACTGTGGTTCAATGTGGCAAGCACTTTGTGTGTAATCAGTGCGACCTTATAACAAACTATTCGTTCGGCAAGTCAATGCAGCTCGGCGAGCGCTGCACGGACACGGTCAGATCTCGCAGCACCGATCGCGACACCGGCGGGTGTTGCTGCTGCTGCTGAAAGAGGAGTCGTCAGTCGGCCACGTCGGTTCAACACGTGACAACTTTCTGAACTGGCTGTGTCGGGCGAACGAGGGAACACGGCGCACATTTTACTTCCGCGGCGAACTGACACAGAAGTCAATGGTGCAATGTTTCCCATTTGCCCTCTGTAAAGTGGTACATTTCATTCTCTCCCAGCAGGAGTTAAAACACCTCGGGAGTTGATTCACAATTTTGTGTGGAGCCCCATGGGGTGCAGCTCGAGCAGCAGGCTGCGGTTTGGGCCGACCGATGGTGCCGTTTGTTTGCTTCAAGAACGTTTTCATTTCAGCGGGAGCTGTCCGGGGCTGAGCTCTAGAAAATATTTCAACGACCCCCCCCCCCACCCCCCGCAACTTCCCAGGAAATTATTCCTGGAGAAATGACACTGTGGTCTTAGTGTAAATACGATAAACTTCCGTCATTATACCGAGATAATGGCAGGACCTGTGAACAATGTAACTTGCATCCCCCTACAATATCAGGAGAAATTCGATCCCTAACCGTCTCTTCTTTTCGACAGGTTAACAAATAAATACTATACAAGTGATTTAATATAGGGGATGGAATAATACGTTTGCAGGTAACGGTTGAGGCTGGAAGACCTTTGTCATGAATAGGAGATGATCTATGGTCGAATAGAACCTTGTCTGTCTAAATACATTCTCACACACAAGTTGTGTGAGAACCCGTATCCCGTTCACCTATGTACAGAGCATTGAGTGGTAAAAATGAGGTTACCAGGGGTAACGAACGGGTCATGTGATGATACACCATCCCTCCCCCTCCCGGGAATTTCGATGAATCGTCACGATTTGGGGGCACCCACGATTCGAATCGATTTTTTTCTCGTCTCATTTTCGCCGACTCGTTTTCATCATCTTCGCCATTGGTTCCGTTTTGTCGTCGTGGGATAACCCCGGCCAGCTTCGATCTTCCGCGAGGCTCGCCGGGATCAACAACCCCCGGAGCCGCATCGTCACGCAAACCATGGCAGCAGCCGATGCGGACACTTATTGATGACGAAGCACGGACGGAAGATGAAAATCTCTCTGGCAGTGTGTGGCGACCTTGGTCACCCTCAGCAGAACCCAGGGGCATAGAGAACGACTCGATGGCCGGCTCACAAACACGGAGGAGGAGCAGCAGCAGCAGCGACGCACCGCTCCGCTACTCCTCAACCGCCTCGTCGCCGTGACGCTGCAGCTGTCGCTCAACATCCACACCGGCCGTACGCAGAAATCCCGTTGGTCCAACGTGTTATCACCTCAAGACGTTGTGTATTGTGCGTATGTTTTAAAAATAATAAATTCTTAGAGGAGCGATCCCCAGTGTTTTAGACCAATGTTTCTCTCATGCAGCGTTTCTCAACCTTGTTTGTCCCCTCGGACCACTCAGCCCACTCCCCTGGTGACAAAAAGCATTGACTTCTCTCTCTCTCTCTCTAAATACCATGACTACAACATGATTCATATTACCGGAACATGAAAACATTATTTTTTTAAATGCAGCCAAAAGGTTTTTTTAGAGTGGGGGCATTTATATGTCATGGTGAGGCTAGTTTAATCTGTGTAGTTTACCGGACTTCATTTTTTTATTAAATAAGTATAATATTAACATCGGTAACAAAAGTTCCAAACGTCGTCTTTATTGTCCAGATTAAGAAGCTGTGTTTGCATCACAGCCCCGCGGATCACCTGGAGGAGCATCGTGGACCGCCGGCGGTGCGGTGACCGCACTCTGAGAACCGCTGCTTGAAACGATTGATTGTGAGTGACCACTGGACTCGACTGACCGTAGATTTTGAAACCCAATTACCTATCTCGCAATACGCGCATCGGATCGTGCCTTTAATAATCGATTACGCTCCATTCGTACGCGTGGCATCAGTTCCCGTGACCCCTGAAGAGATTCCACTTCCGCCAAAATGCCAAAACGAAGCCAAGCCTTTGAATCGAGTCGTGACCTCGAATTGCAAAACTGAGATGCTGGGTTGAAAGAAAATAACATAACATAATAAATTCTTATTTTTTACTTTGCCGAAAGACCCAACGAATATGATTTCCTGCAGTCACGAAAGCTTTAAGTCAAGATTTGAGATGCTGGGCTTGAATCCGGGTCACAGGAGCCACCCGATGACTACAACTGGGTTCCCAAGATGAGTTGATGATCTCAACCCGGCAGTCACCAATGACCACACGAACAAACAACCCCCCGTTCTAATTGATTATGCACTCGATTCGATTGAACTTCAGCTCTTTGTTAATTAAAGGTATCACTTTGACTGCCGTGCGACAAACAATCTCATTGCGGAAAGGAATGTGGAAATTGCGTTCCCGACCGTTTACAGCTTAAGAGGCCACCTGGAAGGATTGTTCCGTGAAAATTATTTTCCTTCGGCCATTCTCTGACGCATGTTGCAGGCTGCTTCGTGAGAGTTCCAAATGGATTCAATGCATCAATAAATGGAGCGAGAAGTAAAACGTAACAAACACCTCACGAAAAGCACCCTTCATGAACCCTGAAATTCTCAAAACGAGGTTCTACTGAACCTGAAAGACAAAAACAGATCGAAGGCGTGCAAAACATAAACTCGGCAGCTGCAGTCCCCTTTCCCGTAGAGCAGTGGCTTTTTTCCCCCATCGGTCGCAAACGGCAAAACCAGTCGTCGTATAAGTGCACACACGCGGTCACGGCGCCGCCGCCACCAACCGCCGAGTCACACGCAGCTGGTCCCCTCGTAGCCGTGCCGGGCGACCTGCGCCGGCACCGCGTCCGCCGACGCCACGCCGCACCACTCCGCCTGCGCGGCGGCCGCCTCCGACAACCGCCGGTGCCGGTGGCCATTGTGGTGGTGGCCGGCGCCGACGACGGCGGCGCCGTCGACGGAGCGCAGGCGCCCGTTGGGCGCGAGCGACGCCCGCCGGTGCGAGCCCGGCACCGTGGCCTGCGCGAGCTCCTTGGAGGAGCCGCGGTGGCGGTGGCGCGCGCGACGGAAGTCGCAGGCGACGTAGCGGCGGAACGCCTGGCGGTACGTCCGGTTGAAGAGCGTGTAGACGAGCGGGTTGACCCCCGACGACACGTAGCCCACCCACACGAAGACGTCCATGAGCTTGGCCATCGCCTCGACGCTGCACAGCGACTCGGGGCACAGCGCCGACGTCACGTTGGTGACGAAGAAGGGGCACCACATGACGAGGAAGAGCGTGAAGACGATGCCCAGCACCTTGGAGGCGCGCCGCTCGTTGCCGAGCGCCTGCGCCGAGCGGCTGTGCGCCGCCTGCGTCCTGCGCAGCGTGCCCATCGAGGCGGCGGCGACGGCGGCCGCGGCGCCGCCGACCGCGCTCGACCGCTCGCCGTCGAGCAGCGTCGGCAGGCGCTCCAGCGTCTCCTCGTGGCGGAAGACGACGCGCTGGTGCTCGCTGCCCCTCCTGGTCGATGCCGACGTCACGGCCGATACCGAGCTGCCGCCCCGGCTGACCTCCATGAGGCCGACCTGCCCGCGGAGCAGCCGGATGGTGAGCACGTAGATGACGACCATGATGAGCAGCGGGAGGAAGAACGAGACCACCGAGCCGTAGATGACGAAGTTTTGGATGTTCAAGACGCACGCGCCGTTCACGAAGACGTGCTGCTGGTCCTGCAGGCCCAGCACCGGGATGGGGCTCGCGATGCCTGGCCACGCGGCGACACGATCCGGGGGATAGGGAGAGTGAAACGGAGCTCACCCATGCCAGGCGCGTTGTAGGTAGCATGCCTCGCCACTTGCGGAATCGTCGCGATTTCAGGTACCACAATTCACAATTGAAGAACCTGCGTGTACGTAGTTTTTTTAAGATCGTGGTAAATGCAGTGTCCCCTTTAGTGGCTGCAGGGGGTCGTGTGAGCCTATCACCTACGACGTATATACGGTCTACGGATTGGATTGACCAGTTGACTGATCCGCGTATTGTGAACACGGGAATCGGTTTGTTCGACGAATCGATAGAGGCCTTGTCGGCAGAGAGGCAGGCCAGGTAAACGAGCAGGCAGGTAGACATACCTACGATAACATCACCCGGGAATGCGACCAAGCCCATCATAACGTTAGAAGCTAAGCAAGTTTGAGCCTGTATCGTGCTTGGATTGGTGGCCACTGTGCACAAAACAGCGCTGCCATTGGCTGCGGGCTACGTCGTGGGCAGCAGAGGGCAATGAAGTGAAATCTGTCATTGTACTGTACATCTATGCCCCCACGTTTGTGCTCCCCGCCTTCACCAACCCACCGTGACCAGCACAGGGAAGTATGTTCGAATAACCTTCGCGAGTCGCACGGCGTGGGGGACCATCCAGCAGTGGAATGGCAAAAGGGCTGTACTGTACGTGCAGCTGTATAGGCAGGCAGATAGGTGAGTGGTAATAGGTCGAGAGGCCTAACGGCTCTGGGTGAGTACCAATCGAGACGTGAACCACGAGTCCTGGGTTCGTTCAAGGGAGACGTTGGATAAACACCGGGAGGAAACGGAAATGCAGGGCACCATTATTTTTTTTCCCCCCACAGAAGTTAATAAACAAAAATACGGCAAAAAGTTCAAATCGAATCTTAGCGCCGCACTTACAAGATGGAGCATTGCAAAGTGCCAAAAACCAGGAACAAATTGTGGTTTGTGGTAAATAAAATACCGACTGCTGTAACCCAGTGTGCAGCAACCACAGAGACTAAGCGGCAGGCCCGGAGGTGATGCCACTGCATACAAGTACGTACGTGTGTACGTTGAACTTCTTTCACACCATACGTAGCCAACTGTGCTAATCGGAGGTGCACGACTCATCCTCACGGAGTCTCAAGACCGACCGCGAAGAGATGATTATTTTTAAATGCACTTGATTTATCAAGGTAAAAACCTCACTCCAGTGTCTGAATATATATATACATAGTTGCACTTCTTTCTCATTGTATGTATCCAACCGCGCTAATCAAAGATGCGGGGGAAGGACAACAAACTAAACACAAAAATGAGTTCTAAAGAAATTAGTTTTCAATCTAGATTAAAAAAAAAGACTTCCTTCACGAGGATTCAGAATTGGGATTTCTGGCCATGACCATTCGAGTGTGGTTTTGCGTCATGCGAGAGGACCCACCACACATCACGAGGGGGGGGGGGTGCCCTGAACATCGCCATCTCCTGGGGATATATCGCAGCCCCACGCCGACCAACACCCAGCGAGCTGCGGTGGCCACCCGCCCAAGTAGTCACCAGGCTCGTACCGACTTGCACCTCCGATTAGCACGGTGGGCTACGTACGTAGGCAAGAAGTTCAACACGCATCTTGCACTCGTATCGTCTTTCGAATTGTTTGTTGATGTAACGTCTGTTAAAAAGAGCTTCATAGCTCATCAGATTATTCCAGGATAAATAAATATTATGACACTGAATTGCCCCTTGTTTGTCCTCACAAAGAACAAACCTTGCCCACAACGCCCTGTGCCAGCAACATTTGATAATTTAACTTTTAATATAAAACAGTTGTATTTATATATACACGGCTCTTTGGCAGAGACTTTAAAAAAAACACATTCCGAGCATTGCGGTAAATAAGATAAAAACGAAACGGAAATCGTGACCGCAAAGCTTTGCACGGCTGACCGATAGATATGGCCCACACGGCGGTGATCTTGAGCAGCGTCTTGCTGCGCGAGTTGAAGCGGCTGTGCTGGATGGGCCTCTTGATGGCGATGTAGCGGTCGAGGGAGATGGCGCACAGGTGCATGATGGAGGCGGTGGAGAAGAGCACGTCTAGGAAGACCCACACCGGGCACATCTCGCACGGCAGGGGCCAGCGCATGTCTGGCACGCACACGGGGGGAGGGGATGTTAAATGTGCACGTCGATAACCATGGGACAGCTCCATCACCGTTGCCGAGGGGACGGATTTTTCACGTTATATTTTTTTCCGGGTTCGCCAGCAGTAGGCTGCAGTAGGCGGCACCTGACTGCAGTAAGCCGTAGCCGTAGCGAGGGGTCTGTAACTGGATGTGGTGTGCCGGGCGTGGGAATATTTTCCAGGTCTCTGGCCTAGACAGATCCAGCTGAAAGAAATCCCGAGCTGTTCACAATAAAGGGATTTTTGGGAGGTTAGATCGAGTGTGTATAAATGTTTTGTTGACCCACCACCACCCGACGCAGCCAATTAGTAAGGATCGTCACGTGATCAAAACGTGCCAATGAGCTATTACTTCAGCACATCGGTGTGATGGCGAGTAAACACACAAGATTTATAGCTGTTCCTCCGTGGTGCTGGGTCTTTTCAATATGATTTGTGGAGGTGACTCTGACGTCAAATGGACACTAAGCCAGCACTGTTGAGAACCTGGGGTCTGGATGTCTGCTGCCAGCAATGAAATTGGATTCTCGAGTGCAGCGAGTTTATGCTTTCGGTTGCTCCTTACAGGCCAAAATAATCTGTCGCATTTACTTGGTTTTTAATGTAAATGATCAGCTTGACATTCATGTGATGAGAATTTCTGTCTGTGGCAGGGTATGTGGGAAAACGCAGTAGGGGTTAGTGTGGATAAAAGTGGTTACTTGAAGGTATATCAAAATAAGTTCAATGATATCTCCTTCCCCAGTTCAGTCCCTAACACGGGGTAATAGACTAACCTGTGGGCGTTCTCAATGAGCACTTTATGAGACTAAGATTCGTATTTTCAACAAACTAACCATAAAATAAGTATTCCACTGTATGTTGATTGACTGTGAGCAGCCAATAATAGGTACTTCATATTCTCTGCATACTCTTAGATAAACATAATGTACATGCATTATACACATACATTATGTATTTAGATTAACTGTAAATTAAAAAAAACAATGATAGGGATGGCATATTCATGATATGACTACACTACAATGACCCCCCCCCCCCCTATGGTCTTCGCTCACAGTGATGACATCACTGTGAGCAGTAGGAGGAATTCTTCTCAACTCTGGCTATCGCCTGATGATGCTGGTTATTTTAATCACCTGCGAAACGTCACGGTACTCGAATTGTTAATGCTGTGGGTTGACTCTCCAACACACAACCGGTGTGCTGAACGAGTAACTAATTGGCACATCATTTTGTTTACGTGACAAACCTTACTAATTGGCTGTGCCAGGTGGTGGTGGGGTTTAACATCACATTCATATTTACGCGATCTAACCCAAAAAAAAACCTCTATTAAGGACAGTGTGTAGAGTATGCACTCAGTACACTGAACTACGGTAATCATTTGTGGCTGAAAGCCTATTGTTGCTTTTTTTCAAATGACTCAACGTTTTAACTTTTAAAGCTTATAAGTCTACGAGTAAGTGTAAGAATAATAATGATGATACCCTTGACCACCCAGGAAAGGCCTCGCTGACTTTGAAGACGTGGCTTTTTTCGTTTCAGGAGAGTCCCGCGCTTGAGGTGTTTTGGCCAGATCCACAAACGAGCGCCCGGAGACATCCCACGCATCAGAGGGGGAACCGCAGGGGCGCGATGTTTACTGCCTCGCCTGGTATACCGGAGGTCGTGGGTTCTATCCCTAAATGACTCTGACTACTGTGGCGTTTTCCGCGGGTCCTCTGTTTTTTCCCCTCCAAGTTCATAAACGTGTGCGTTTAGATTATTTGGCTGCTATAGACTTCCATGTGATGATAAGCCACTTCGCTGAGCTATCATTTGTGGCCAGGTCGCTTTTGAAAAAGAGCTATACCAAGCTCAGTGGGCCTTACCTGGTAAAATTTAAAAAAAGTGTAGTTTAGATCAATATCAACACTCCACCTTCTGTACTGCCATCTCTTGGTCAGGTCATTTCGTAGCCCTAGCCTGCAACACCTGGCATTCCAGAGGAGCCTGCCGCTACCCAAGCAAGTGGCCATGCTGAACGCTGCTTAGCTTGGGATATCATGGCGAGAATGGCGGTTGGTGATTGGGCCCAGGGATGCACTGTGCAAGGGGGAGTGTATCGACAGTTGAGTGTTCACGTGCAATGTAATTGAGGGACTGTTGTCTTGCTGTGGACCGGGTTTGTTGTTGTTGTTTTGCTGCCTTTCCCAAGCTTCCATTTGGTGTTGACGAATGGACAGGGATTTCGGCACTTATGCAGTTTGTATTTATTATGAGCAACTTGCTTACTTTTTCTCGATCTGGCACTCATACCGTATGTTGTATTGTCTGTTGATGTAACTCGCTGACCCGCGCCTACTGAACATCTGTGAAAAAAGAGCTTCATAGCTTATCGGTCTCTTCCAGGATAAATAAAGATTCGGATTCTGAGTTGCCCCTTGTTCATCCTCACAGAGAACAAAACCTTCCCCACAATGCACTGTGCCAGCAACATTTGATTATTAAAAAAAAATTTAATGCTTTTTTTTAGATATATATGAAAGTAATACTTGTGATTATTGAAGGATTTGTCTGCCACTACAGTAGCTACTAACAGTGTAACTATTCATATGTCAATTTAAAAACTGATCACCAGAAAACAATTGTTTAATTTAATTCTAATCAGGCCCCGTGGTGTTAAATGCAGTCTCCAAGACAAACAGAGGGCCTGACGGTTCAGCCGCACGCTCGGTCTCCAAAAAGGGTGGGCCTGCGTCCGACGCTCGCGACAAACGAGAGCGTGAAATCGGAGAGGTCCCACGCCGGTTTGACAGCGAAATGTTCCGTGGCAATTAGCCCCCTCGTGGCTCGAGCCACTTCGCAGCATTGGCAGCGTTAACAACATCTAATCACCGTAGTTCGTCAGGGGAAAAAATGACGAATGTGAAATTAAAGGAAATAAGCGACTTTTGTGGTGTCGGAACGTTCCAGGGAATTTATGGAGCACCTCGCCAGCACAGCTCCGGCGCGCACACACAAGTCCGGGGCACGGACACAGTTCGCTGGGAAGAGCAAACTGTCGTGCACACCCCAGTGGTCGTTTGCTTTCACGCTGCCTGCAATAAGCCGCCGACGGCACAAACAGATTTCCCGAAAATTGCTGAGAGAATGTTCAACGCCGTCGCGATCATAATCGCGCTAAATGGCTCCTTCCTCTGCGTACCCCCCCTGCCCCTCACCTCACAACACCCCCCTCAACTGGGAGGCCACGCAAGTGCGAAGAGTGCGGGAAAATGCTGCCGAAGCTCCGTCTGGGACAGGAGAGTCTGGCTAAGAAATCGTCCGGGCTCTTCTACCAGCAGAGTGCCTGAATGCAGTGGCTCCGGGGAAAGAGGGCGGGAAGTCTTTAACAACCCAAGGCGGCTCCTTCATTCCTTCCCACCTACTGAAGATGATTTTGCTGAAAAACGGCGAGGTTGAAAATCTCCAAAAAATACACTGTATAACAATTATGTTTTTGTTCCTGGGTAATAAGTGTTATTTCCTAATTGCTTATGCCTCAAAAGTACAGAAAATTGCTATTATTCCCCACAAATTTAGCTTTTGTGACCAGGACAGTGAAATTTTGAAATTTACCTACTTTTCAGAAGATTCCAGATAGATTAAATGCTGAGTAAACTTGGAAAACGTCTAGAAAATTCAAGAACTTTCCAGTAATATAAATATTAGTATAAATGCAAGAGCCTCAAGCCCGCCAGTTCATTTTAGTTCCAACTGCCTAAGTGGATGCATTTTTCAGAGATGGCATCAAGAGGCTGCAAGCATCCGGAAGACGCATTTTGCTATGTCTGCGGCCAATTTATCAAGACAAGAGCGAAAAATACTCTGTGGAAGCATCTGCTAAGATGTGTGAGGCCTACAAGGCATATTTCGGCATGCCTGTCGGGGATCAAGACAAACCCTGGGCACCTCATTTCACCTGCGAGCAATGCAAAAAAACTCCCTAAAATAAGATGGACAATTGTTGCTCGGAATTTTATGTTATAAAATTAGTAAAAAAAATAATTTGTAAAAGTTCTTAGTTTTTAAATGTTTTACAATTTTAAATGTTATTGAAAAAATATAACATATGAAAAATATTACGAGAAGCTCTTACACATCAGTCATGGGTGAAATAAATTTATTTTTGCAAAATGGTAGAGAGGGGAAAAGAGAGCCATGAAGTTCGCTATGCCAAGAATTTGGCAGGAACTCACTGACCACTCAAGCAACTGCTACTTCTGCATGGTGGACCCTTCCAAACGTCGGACTGGCAAGAATGCACCTGCTATCACGTATCCGGACCTTCCTTCATCTCCCCGGTGCCACACTGCCATGAGCAACCCACCCACTCCTCCGGAGAGAGAGCAGCCGTCTTTAGAAGAGAGCAGCAAGTCAGAGAGCGAGGAAGACGTCGTAGATCCAGATGACAATTTCAGAGGTGGAGCTGAGGAGAGAAGCCCATACTTCCCCAACCAAAAATACCTCAACGACTTGATCAGAGATCTTGGTCTCACCAAGTCCAATGCCGAGCTTTTGACGTCTAGGCTAAACCAGTGGAACTTGTTTGATAAAAGTGTGCAAGTCACAAACCAGAAGTAGCGTCACAAACCTCTTTGCAGCTTTTTCACCCGTCAAGATGGGCTGTGCTTCTGCCACAATGTGACCAGTCTGTTCGAGGCAATCGGAATCGCCTGTTACCAGAATGGTTGGCGCCTCTTCATTGGCAGCTCATCCAGGAGCCTCAAAGCCGTGCTGCTCCATAATAGTAACAAGTACCCGTCTCTTCCCCTGGCTCACTCGGTGCACCTCAAAGAGGATTACAACAGCATCAAAACCTTGCTGGATGCCTTGAAGTATGATGAGTACGGCGGGGAGGTCATCGGAGACTTCAAAATGGTGGCATACCTGATGGGTCTCCAAGGCGGTTTTACCAAGTTTCTCTGCTATCTTTGCC